GGAGAAGGAGGAAGGGGAGATCAGACTTGGTGGGTGCACACTGTATCCCAGCACTCAGGAAACTGAGACAGTTAGGACTCAAAGTTCGAAGGCAGCCTGGGATGTGTAGCAAGACCCTGTCTCAAAAAGAGAATTAAAAAAAAAAAAAAGAAAAAGAAGAGGAAAGAAGGGAGGGAGGAGGAGGGAGGAGAGAGGGAGGGACGGAGAGGAAGGAGGGAGGGAGGGAGGAAGCGAAGGACAGGAAGGAAAGGAAGGAAGGAAGGAAGAAGGAAGGGAAGGAGGAAGGAAGGAAGGAAGGAAGGAAGGAAGGAAGGAAAGGAAGGAAGGAAACGAAAGGAAAAAAGTTAAATATTCTTAGTATAAGATCAAGTTTTATGTATTCATTTACAATTTTGAGCAAAGAATGAAACAGCCTGAACTTCTCCTCTAATATTAGCTTGCTACTATGGATATATTTTGGATTGCTTCCCTAGTCTCTAGGCAACCTTTCTCCTGTTACACTAATTGAAGTGTAAATGTCCCAGTCACACAATTTGGGTGATTTGATCTCACTCCCAAATCAAGAAGTGGACATTGTCTGGTTACACCTATGGATGCAATCCTCCAGATTACCATGGTTAGTTTAGAGATAAGCAAGCAACTCAATAGGCACTATATGGAAGATACCGAGACCATCTGGGAGAAAAGCTTCACCTCATCTCCTTTAAACTGTAACAGAAAGCATCCATTTAGTCTACCTAATAACATCTCTATTACAACAAACTTAGAAAAAAGACAGTACTATGAGGGGGAGGGGGCAAGAAATAGAAAATGAACTGATCAATGGTAACATTACTAAGGTACTAGATCAAACTACACCTGAAGATCACCTTTCTATGGCTGTGCTTTTCGGTGAGTCAGTATCTTCTTTAAGACAGTGTGAGTTGGGACTGGGGGTAGAGCAAATGATTAACATTGGCACGGCTCTGGGTTCTATCCTTAGTGTGGGGGCGAGGGTGGGGGGAAAGTTAATACAACCTACAAGACCTTTAGAAAAACCACCTGTCTTTAATTCTTCAATTGCCTCACTCAAAAGCAATATTAATCTCAATTCACCCTCTTCCAAAAATGTTATTCAAATCAGGGGACACGGGGTATGTGAAAGCATTATGAAAAGCTACCTACATGTCCTAAGCCATGCTATGGAAATTTGTTTATTCTAGAGTGCATTTCTAAGGCTGGTGGAGTGGCTCAAGAAATAGAGCGCCTGCCTAGCAATCACAAAGCCCTGCGTTCAATACCACACATACACAAAAAAATAAGTGTCCAGAAAATGTAATGAACTTCTAAGAATCAATGACAAAAAAAAAAAGAAGATACCAATGGAGTGCATTTCTTTATATCATAAATACAGTATCTAAAGGCTGTCAGAGTGGCTCAAGCAGTAAAGCACCTGCCTAGCAAGCATGAGACCCTGAGTTCAAACCCCAGTACCGCCAAATTAAAAAAAATCCTATAAATCCAGCATTTATCATGCGAAAGTTAGTCTTTTTCCTAAAGTAAAAGGTTTTGTTCCAGACTAAATTTCATTATAATGATAACGCTTTCATTGACCACATAGAAGTTATTTTCTTACTAAGACATATTATAATTACGTGCTATACTGGTAATCAGAAGACTTAGGTTTTCATCCCATTACTGTCCCTCACCATATGGAGTACTTTGAGGAAGTCAAATTATCATTTAGAAAAGAAATAAGGCTTTTAATCTGATAATTCTAAATACCTCTACTACCTATAATACTTTATACATGTCTCACCTACAATGTGCTCCCATTGTTTAACTGCAAGTCCAGGAATTCAACATTATTGTATTCTAATATTATAGAATGATCCACAGTTGCCTTGCTTTTATTTAAAATATGTAAACTAATCCCTTTTCCTCAAAAAAGCTGAGGTTTCCATGGGATATTTAAAACATGTTCTATTTATGCACAGTGCCTTTTTCTATCACTGCTCAAAGGCTATAATCACCAACTTGTCCATGATTTATTCTTCTTTACTGCACATAATGACAAGTCTAAAGGTTAAATTACTAAAGCAAAGCTGCAAATAATCTATTTTCTTTGTAAGTTAGATATGCTAATAATCAACCAGAAAATTCAGTCAACATTGACTTATTCTTTTGAAGCTATGACATCTGTTTTGATAATCCTCATTCTCATTATTTAAACAAAAGCCACATTAAAAAGAAACTCATAGGCTAAAAGTATTAAGCTTTTCCTTCATTAGAATTTTTCTCAGTATGTAGTTTCATTGGTTTCTAAGAATGATACATGAATCACTATTTAAAAAAAACAAAACTAGTAGTTTACTATCACACCATCTTTTTGTTAAACTTATTTTTGAATGATAAAGATAAATTATGCATATTAAAGGGGTACCATATGATGTTTTGAAACATGTATTCATCATATAACCAGGCTGAACATATCTCCTCAAACACACTACTTCTTTTTTTATCATTTTTTAAAATTATATTTTACTTTTGAATTGTCAAGCATTAAAAATACAGGGGATTTCATAGTGATAATTCTATACCTATATACAGTGTACTCTGAACAAGTTCACCCCCTCCATTATATTTCCATTCCCCTCCTTCCAACCTGCCCCCTTTTCAAACAGAAACACATTACTTCTTTATGGAGAAAACATTAAGAATTCCTTTTTATAGTTTTTTAATATACAGTACACAACTGCTATCTATAGTCACACAAGTGTGTAAGAGCACACCAGTACTTCTAACTGCAATTTAGTTAGACTCCTACCTAACTGCAATTTAATACCCATTGGTCAACCTTCTCCATACCCCAACAGCCATCACTCAATCCCAGCCTCTGGTAACCACCATTCTACTCTCAAGTTCTATGAGATCAACTTTTTTATATTACACTTATGAGTAAGATCGTGCAGTACTTGTCTTTCTGTGGTTGGTTTTATTTCATGATATAATCTTTTTATAATCTGAAGTATCTGAAGTAGCATAACTACTTAGAAGCTAAGAAGCATTAAGACTATAAACAAAGCTATACTTCATTCCCCTAACCCTACAATATAGACCACTGTCCAGTAAGTAGACACACCAGATATGGTTTTATGAGATTGTTTTTATATAAAACATTCTCATTTTAGATCAAAAAGAATTAACCTAGAAGGTAACACATATGCACAAGAAGTCAATATGAGTCAACTCCCTGTATAGCTATCCTTATCTCAACCAGCAAAATACCTTGGTCCTGCCTATTACTGCTTATACTCTTTCTACAACAAAATTAGAGATAAGGGCAAAATAGTTCCTGCCAGGTATTGAGGGGGGGGGGGAGAGGGAGGGGGGTGGAGTGGGTGGTAAGGGAGGGGGTGGGGGCAGGGGGGAGAAATGACCCAAGCCTTGTATGCACATATGTATAATAAAACAATAAAAAATATAATAAAAAAAATTCTCATTTTAGAAGTCTACAAAACTTTTTCATTCTTTAAAAAGTCCACAAATCTTACTCATTTTAAGTCATTAAAACTTTTAAGCAGGCATGGTGATGTACACCTTTAATCCCAGAACACAGAAGGCTAACAAGCGAGGATTATGAGTTTGAGATGAGCCTGGTATACAGGGTAAGACCCTGTCCGGGTCTGGGGTGGGGTGGGGGGACAGTTAAAAGCAAAAAAGTCCGTAAGACTTCATGTTTTACTTTAAAATACTTTTATACAATAGAAAAACTTTTATTTAGATAAAGCACTGTTTCAGAGGATCTCAACAAATTACAAGTTGCTGATTTTTCTTTTTCCACATAGGAATAAATACATTTTATCTCAACATAACTGATGTTTATCAGTATAGCTTCTGCATATTACCTATAATTACAAAGTACATTACACACAGTATAGACTTTTTCCTCAATCTTTAATACTAACAAGAATATTATATTACAGAGATGTGATATAGGAGTCTCTGACAGATGGCAATGGTAACCCAAAGATTAACAAAGCCTCTTAAAGAGTTTACATGATACAGTAATTTTGCTCTTGTGAAAAGATATCATATTCCGCATTTAAAAGCACTGATGCAGTGCTTTTAAAAACACGTTTAGCCAGGAGCCAGTGGCTTGCACCTATAATCCTAGCTATTTGGGAGGCTGAGATCAGGAAGACCACAGTTTAAGACCAGCCCAGGGAAATAGCTCGTGAGACCCCATCTCCAAAATAACCAGAGCAAAATGGATAGGAGGTGTGGCTCAAGTGATAAGAGAGCCTGCTCTGCAAGCATGAAGCCCTGAGTTGGAACCCCAGTCCCACTTAAAAAAAAAAAGTTTTAAACCTTACATACATACGCACACACACACACACACTTTTATGTAAGCACATAAGTACAGATACAGGGTAAATACAGGAAAGAGTCTTCTACATGAAAATATGAATATTTTTCTCTCAAAAGCATGCCTGGTGCCTGGGCAACCAACAAGATGGAAGGGAGGAAGGAAAGAATTTGCTGGGGGCTTGGCTCAGTGGTAGAGCATGTGACTAGAATGTGAAAGCACTCTCTTTGTTGATCCCCAGCACCAAAAACAAATAAATACACGCTGTTAGATATTATATCCCCTCTGAAGTTATGATTTAAGTAGAGGCACTTATTACATGCAATGGGTCTACTTTTAAAAGTATACATTATAAAGCCATATTACAAGGCAGTGTAAGATTTGACACCTGCTTTCAGTGATACCATAGCTGGTATCACTCTGCTCTAGATTCCTCTCATAGTCTACTAACATCTCTGTTGGTATAGACAACTTATACCTCTTACTTCTAAGAGGTCTAATTTCCTGGTTACCATGCCCTTTCCAGTCTGTGGCTACTATACTTGTACTTAGCACAACAATGAACTTCAGAGCAGCAAGAGATATTCCAGTGGATCCCGAGTACCAAATATATTCTTCCCTGGCTCCCTTGTGATGATCAAGAGTCAATTACCCTTGCCAGGATGGTGATTCCTTTTCTTCCTTGGTGATCTTTTGGCACAAGGACCCTAGAGTGACCACCCAGCAGGCATGCCTTAAAGGTTAATGGAGTTCACACTGTGTCTGTTTCCTAGTGGGACATTTCTGCTTCTGGAAAAGTTAAATAGATAGAAAGTATAAACTCTGCAAGTGAGGCCATTCTTACTTTATCCCTCTATTCTACGACCATTTTATCTAATGAGGACACCAAATAACGGATATCCATTGGATATTCCCATAATAGTTAACATACATAAAGGATCCTGGAGGATGGCATCCACCCTTGTAGAGAATCTGACACCTTTTTTTTTTTTCAGAAACAGGGTCTTGCTATATAGCCCAGGTTGACCTCAAACTCATGATCCTCCTATTTCTATCTCCCAAATGCTGGGATTACAGGTATGTACCACCATTCCTGGGTCTCAGTTGCATCTTTTTTGAGCCCACTATAACTACTCCATCAATTCAGAGGATTATGAATAGAAGCAGCATGCATTGGGGCCCGTGGACTCATGAACTTGGGCTCACTGCCACATATCATTTACAATAAAGTGGGACTCTTGGTAAAAGACAACATTACTCAAGATCCTATATTGGTAAATCAAACACTCTGTAAATCCTTAGATGGTAGTGCTGGCTGTGGATTTATGAGCAGGAAAAACAAACCTGTGCCCAGAATGTGTGTTAATTTCTGACTAGACAGATTATTGCCCCTTCCAAGGCAGAGGAAGGTATAGTTTTAGAGGCTTTAACTTTTTCCCAGTATGAAAGCCCATATCCCACTGGTAATGGAACCAACTTGAGGGTCCTGCCAGCTATCATGTATGTATTATCCCAATTACATAATCAAGAAATCAAAGAAATGACTCTGAATCTACTGGTCAAAATAAACACTTTCCTCATTTTAAGTTGATTGTCTGTATCTTAGATACTTTGTCACAGTGACAAGAGAGCTAACTAATACAACCCAGCAAAGACCTTGAGGGCTGTCTGGCAATCCTTGGAACTGCCAATAGAAGTGAATTCTCAGATTGCTCTGATGTAATCCAGAACCCAGCCCATTAAATTCAGTCAACTAAGCAGAATTGGCAAACTGTATGGATATTACATTATTATCGACCATTTTGTTTCTTATCCTAATCTTGCCACTAAAATCTGCTTCCAAAAATAATATGATTACGTGAATTCCTAATTTTATTTTCACTTGGACACTTTTTGGGTTTGGGGGTGGGACTGGAGTTTGAACACGGGGCTTCATGCTTGCAAAGTAGGCAGTGACCACTTGAGCCACATCTCCAGTCCATTTTTCTCTGGTTATATGTTGGCGAGGGATCTCATGAACTATTTCCCCAAGCTGGCCTCAAACTGCTATCATCCAAATCTCAGCCTCCTTCCCAAGTAGCTACAATTACAGGCACAAGCCACCAGTGCCCAACTTCATTTGGACACTTGATGGCACAAGAACAGACCATATAGCCAGGCACTGGTGGCTCACACCTGTAATCCTAGCTACTCAGCAGGCAGAGATCAGGAGGATCATGGTTCAAAGCCAGCCCAGGCAAATAGTCTGTGAGACCCTATCTTGAAAAACCCCTTTGCAAAAAAAGGGCTAGTGGAGTGGCTCAAGGTATAGGCCCTGAGTTAAAGCCCAGTACCACCAAAAAAAAAAAAAAAAAAAAAAAGCAAACTATACAGTCAACAAAGCTATAAACACAAAAGCTTTTGGGTAAAGACATCCATAATCTTTTTAACCAGCATTTATTAGGAATGAGAATGGAGGCAAAGAAAACAAGAGGACCTCACTAGGTAAACCATAAAAAGTGATTTTAAAATTCCCTTAGAAAAGATAAAGAATATCAGTCATAAGTTTTAAAAGTATGTAAAATTCAATTCATTAAATTGAATGCCTTTCTTTAGGCTACTTATAACTCCATCAAAATAAAAAACAGACAATGGCTGGCAGAGTAGCTGAAATGGTAGAGCACCTGTATAGCAACCATGAGGCCCTGAGTTCAAATCCCAGTAGTGCCAAAAAAAAAAAAAACCCTATAGACAAAAAAAAAGAAAAAATCCAGTTATTAGGTATAACTACTTTAAAACAGTTTAAAATAGTAATAGCCCTTAAAAACAGTATGTTATATGAAACAGAGTATCAAAACTAACATTATACAAAAAGAGAAACATACCTCACCTAGAGAGCTAATTTCCTGATCTATATGCCCAACTACTCAATTTTTTTTTCAATATTAGGGATCAAACTCAGGGCCTCACAGATGTTAAGCAAGTGCTCTACCACTAACCCATATCCACAGCCCTCAGTTTCTTAAAACACTATACAACTAAACTGTCTCAAATAATGGTGCACCTTTTTGTTCCTATCGTAATAACAATCACTCTGTTCTTATGTTCTCCCATCATCCTCTGTGTCTATTTATGGTGACTATGATCCAAAGTATTTCTAATATACATTCACAAACTTTACCCAGTACTGTACAAATTCTGGAATCTCACATCTTTATTCTCATTTATGAAATATTCATTCCCTCCTACCTCCCAATACAGTTTTGATATGTGGATTATGATCTCCCTGTTCCCATTATCATTTCTGGCTGCTGAAACATACTAGCAAGTAATCCAGCCATTACTTCCTTGACTTGCTTAACTCCAATGATCTTTTGCCCTATCCCATTTAAGTCAACACCCTCATACCTTCAACTCTCGGTCATGTCATTATCAGTAGATTCCTCTGGAATCTTTGTTTCTATAGCTCAATAGTTCATCTTCTCCTCTCCTCAAAGATGATTTACACTAAGTGCCATCACTATACCTTTTGGCTTCACAAGAACCTCCCATCCACTGATTCTACTACTTTTTCCCCTAAAGTCCTAATTTCATCATCATACAAATTTAGATTACATTGTCTAGTATTAAACTAATCCTTTACCAACCTTTAACTCACTTGCTCATCTCTTCACTATTATACCACCTATTTCATCTGTGTTTAAAGGCATCTATACTCCAGCCCATGCCTGTATCTGAGCAGCTGATTTTTGCTACATAAAAACCACTCACAACCTTAATGACTGAACTCACACTAAAATTATCACCACAGATCTCAAATAAGCTCCCTTCACAGCAAAAATTTCTAAAGCAAGCTGAGCAGTAGTGGCTCACACCTGTCATCCTAGCTTACTTGACGAGCAGAACTGGGAGATTCCAAGTTCAAGGCCAGCCCAGGAAAATAGTTCATGGGAGCCCCATCTCCAAAATAATCAGAGCAAAATGGATTGGAGGGTGACTCAAGCAGTTGAGCACCTGCTTTAAAAGTGTGAAGCCCTACTGAATGAAAATAACTTCAACCCTAGGGTACTCTACCCATCAAAATGTCATTCAAAATACAGAGCAACTGAAGTCTTCCATGATAACCAGAAACTAAAACAATATATGACCACCAAACCACCACTACAAAAGATTCTCCAAGGAATTCTGCACACAGAAAATGAAAGCAAACAAAACAATGAAAGGGCAGGCAATATCAAACCACAGGAGAAGAAAAGGCAAGAAAGTAAAGAGTAGCACTGATTCAGCTGCACACAATCAAACCCTTAAACAACAAAAGCAACTAAATGACAGGAATCATCACATACCTATCAATATTAACACTGAATATCAACAGGACTCAACTCCCCCATCAAAGACACCATTGTAAACTAGATTAAAAGAGATCAACAATATGTTGTTTACAGGAGACCCATCTCATTGGCAGAAACAAACACTGGCTTAGGGTGAAAGGCTGGAAGAAGATTTATCAAGCCAATGGCCCCTGAAAACAGGCAGGAGTAGCAATACTTATCTCGGACAAAGTACACTTCAAATTTACATTGGTCAAATGAATAAAGAAGACATTCCATACTAATAAAAGGAGAAAATACACCAAAGGAAATAACTATTATCAACCTATATGCATCCAATCTCAGTGCACCCAATTTCATCAAACATACTCTGAAAACCTAAAAACTATATAGACCTATACCACTATATGGTACTGGGAGACTTTAATACCCCCCTATTACCAATAGTACAGGTGATCTAAACAAAAAACTCAATAAATTCTAGAACTAAATCATACCATTAGACCTAGCTGATGTCTACATAAAACTTCATCCAACTTCCGCACAATATACATTCTTCTCAGCACCCATGAACCTTCTCCAAAATTGATCACATCCTAAGGCGCCAAAGCAAGCCTCAGCAAATATAAAAAACAGACGTAATCGCGTGCATTCTATCTGATCACCAATGCATTTAAACTAGAGCTCAACCTCAAAAACAACAACAGAAAA